TATAGGGTTTTTTATTTATTTCTATCAAGACTTCTCGAACCTACGTGTTTTTTCTAACATCATGTTTGTACTAAAAATAAGTTAAATTTTCATCTAATCCCCAAAAGAATTCAGAAAAAAATGAAAATAACAAGGAAACAGCTATACAACCTAGAAATGGGACACATATTTATAAGTGTAATTTCGTTGATTACATCTTCTGTATTTAGTAAACAACACTACTGTTCTCTCTCCTAAACTCACAAGCTGAATAATGGGTGAGAAGGCTATAGAATTTTTGTATGTCACAAGCCATGGATTACATAAAAGTAATTAGTCCAAAATTTATTATCTTGTTTTATGGTTATTATAATATAATTATATTCTTTAACCAACACATGTAATCAAACAGAAATAATATCTCCATATATATTATATATATATCAAAAATAGAGTTCTTCTTTAAAAATTTTCAAAATTCCTACTATTCTTACTTTTAAAAATTAATAAACTTACCATCCAAAAAAGTGTGTCAACAGCAAACTTACTGTACTGGTCTATTGTGGACAAAACACTGAATATAAGGCAGATTAGCACCACCACAAACCTAATGGTGAATAAGTACATAATTAAATCAATATAACCTTACACATGTAGTTTGCATAATGATATACTTTTTTTATACAACAAAAGAAAACAATATGGCACAGTAACTGTTCACTACATTCATATAGCTTTGTTCCATACATATTGTAAAACAGATGAAAGTCCTTGAAAAGACAAATATATTACAAATTATGATTGGAAACATATCTATGGCAAAAAAATCATTTGTTCAACAGTTTTATGTACATTATATATTTCTATGAGAAATATTTCTCACAGAACTGAAAAGATTTCTATGGAACTTACAACAAATACTTGTTGCACTTGTATACAATATGATCAGAGTTGTGGGTAACGTTATTTAAGTAACTTGTTACAGTAATAATATAACTTTATATCATAATGAGATATTATAATGTTTTAGATTTTTAACATGAATAATAACATCACATTTACTTTTTGTCATGATATAAAAGACTGTTTGGTTTAGATATTATTGATTAATTTATTTTTGTGAGTGAATATTTCATTACTGTTTAGTTTTTGTTATAATAAGAGTTAAAAGCAGACGATTGTTGGAAGTTGTGTTTATAATTCATTGATGTTGAGACTATCGACGTTGCGTGCAATACATTGCCGTCAAGAATATATGGATTTCTAGAAGGTGGGCAGACAATTAAGTGATAATCATATAAATAGTAAAAGATGAGCAAAAACAGCAGACAGACAATAGCAAAAGAGAGTAAAGTCATGGCCAAGGAAAGTTAAACTTGAACTTAACTGCCGTAGAAGTGATAATCCTAACAATTAACATAGTCATAATGTTTATTATATTAGAGTAAGACTAGCAGTAGAAATAGAGATAGTGAAGAAGATTTATTCCAACAAAGCTTGGTTCTAAAGCAACTGAATCGGCCTGAGTGCACTTTGACAAAAAGAACAGGAGATATTTTGAAGAAAGTTTGTTTGTTTTGAATTATGTGCAAAGCTAGACGAGGGCTATCTGCACTAGCCGTCCCTAATTTAGCAGTGTAAGACTAGAGGGAAGGCAACTAGTCATCACCACCCACAGCCAACTCTTGGGCTACTCTTTTACCAATGAATAGTGGGATTGACCGTCACATTATAATGCCCCCACAGCTGAAAGGGCGAGCATGTTTGGTGTGAAGGGGATTCGAACCTGCGACCCTCAGATTGCGAGTCGAGCGCCCTAACCACCTGGCCATGACGGGCCTGTTTGAAGAAAGAAGACCAAACAATTACTGTAACTCTCGTCACAACTGTAAGTAAATCACACACAGAATACTAGTGCAATAGTAATAGAGAAGATAGTTTGGTTTGTCAACTGAAATTATAAAAAAAAAAAAACTTTATATTTTATCTGTTATTTTCAGTAACGAATCTCTATACGGATTTGATCGATCTCGTAACCACGTTAAAAAAAATTAGGAAATAAATATAAATTATGCCTTTTTTGTTCTAGAATGACTACAACTTATAACATGAAAACACAAATGTTTAAACTAAATAGCTTAAATATCATAACATTATACATTTATATATATATTTGTTATTTTTATTATATTAGCTTTTTAGCCATGCCTGGGCTAACAATACAGAAGTTACAATGACTCGGCACACGTGCACTCATGTTATTGTATCCAATAATATAAAACTGATCTTTAGTCTTTACAAAGTGACCTGTCTTGGCTTTATGTATCTAGATTATTGCTATCTAGAAATAAGTTCTTAAACTTCTTTTTCTGAAAACACAGAACAGTAAATAAAGAAGTAATGAAAAAAATCATCTCTTCTAGTTACGACCTTTGTACTCAGTTTCTGCTTTTTATATACAGCTGAATAACCAAAAAATCATAAATTACTCTAACAATACCACAGAATTCCACTATAATTTATCAAGCTTAGTAACTAAGCTGTATTTCAGTCTAAACAAATATGAAATTCTGAGCAGACTAAAGACACAAACTACTTCCTTGAAATTATGGTTCGAAAGAAAGAGATGGCATCCAAATACTTTAAAATGGCTGAGAAAGTCACTAGGGGACATTCTGAGCTTACAATTGGTTATTCATGTCATATATAGAAGTGTATATAATGGACAGTTTCCAAAAATGGAAAGAGGTGGGAGGGTCCCACTGTGTTTGATTTATTACATGAGCAATATCTTAGCAAATTGAAAAGATAAGAGGTTCTTATTTTATATTCTAGCTTTAAATATCAATAATATGAGTTCCTAATTCATATGAAACTATAAACCATAATATTTTGACATCACAAACACCTAATTT